TTGCCGTGTGATGTTCGCACCTGGATTTTTGACTTGACAAGTTAGTTTAAACCTTATGGACCTCAGATTTTCAGGGGAAGGAGTGCCTTACTATGTATTCAATATGTGACACTTCACTTTCATGGGAATTCTTCTGTTCCCTTTTCTCACTCCATGAGTCATTGCATTTAGAGAAGGCTTTTTTTTAACCCTTAGATGGAACTAGTGGAAGGTAACGAAGTTCCTCACCTTGCTGCTAGTGCCAGTTCCAGGCTAGCACTTTGTGGGGCAGCCTGTTTCTCTGTGATTAAGAATGAGATGTCCTCATCTTGCATTAATCCTGCAGAGATTGCTAACAGAAACTCCCAGAGAAGCTACAGCTGACTGGTTTTGTGTATTTTTAGAGTCCTTCTCATCAGTGTATTTTACCCTCTATAATCTTCCCACGAGATGCTCCAGGCTGTCTGGGTTGTGCTATTGGGATGGGTTGGCATGTTTAAGGTAAACTGATGGAAGCAGATTTGGCAGGGGGAAAAGTCATGAAGGAGGAGAATTGGTTTGGAGGCTAGTGAGTATGAAATATTTACACAGCTATGAGATAATCTGAAGGGGAAACAGCATGTGCTTTCTGTGTATGTGTACGTATGTATTTGTGCGCACACAGGGCTGTTGTCTTTTTGTCAGATTCCCAGGGTTTTTTCTGCTGCTTCTGGCAAAGAACCACTAATGGTTTAATAGCTTATCAGCGCCTGCACACAGAAACAAAGGTTGGTACTTCCTGATTTTGTGTTTTCTTTGCTTTAAATAGGAATTCCCATTCTGATTAACATGAAACCTGGAAACTGAGCTGTCAGACCAGTCAGCTTTTTGAGATCAGTGCAGAATTCCTGACTGTGAGCAGCTTGAAGGCAGTCCAGGCACTGTTTTCCTGCTGTACAACCCCAGGGCTCTGCTCGCCTCCTGAAGGAAACTCGTGAGAGTGCGTGACCCAGGACAGATCATTGCTGAAGCACCTTGCTGTGAAGTGGCTAGATTGTACTGCTCTGGATGTATTTCTCTCCATCAGCCAGGTTTGGCATGCTTTTTCAGTGATGACGGGCCAAATTCTACCCAGTTATATTCAGCATTTTGCTTCTCTTCCAGCATTGAGGGGTTTGGGAATGTTCTTTACAGCTCCAGGTCTTGGAATCAAGTTACTATGAAAGTCGGTATTCAGAAACATGGAGGTCTTTTGGTTGTTCTTTTTTGTTCTAGAGTTTGTAGAGAAGGGCTTGAAAACAAGACAGCTGTGGTCTTGAGATCCAAAAAGCATTTGACTGAGCAGCAGTGTAATGGTGTTTAAATAGTCTTAGGATGTCTGGAAGGACCAACATAGAATTTCTTTGAACATCCAGTGCTGATGGCGCAGTGGGTCATGGTCCCCCTGCAGCAGTGTCCACCAATGAACTGTTTCTACTAAAGTCAGGGACAGAATTTAGACTTTTATAAGATGCCTAATTTTTTTGCTATTGGCGTAGTACTTGTCAGATCTGGCATTATTCAGTAGAAAATATCCTTCCCCTTTAAGAACATTATTGTTTTAGCCTTTTTTTCCTCTCCTCTTTGCCTTTTTCTTTCTCTATTTCTCATCCTTTTTCCTGGCCTCCATGCCTACTCTTTTCTTCCTCCAACACTTCTTTCCCTGCAGTCATTCCACATTCCCATCTCCTGAACCATTACTCCCACCCTCTTTCAGACCACCAAAGCACTCGGCAGTCATGCTACTACACTTGGCACTGCTCCTTTCTCTGGGACACCCCACTGATGGGAGGGCAGACATTAGCAGTCCCAGGTATGCCTCCCTCTGGTTTAAACTTGAGCTCCTTTTGGCCTGCTCAGGGCTTTAGCATTGTGCATTGGACATTTGTGATTCTCAGTTTTGGCATGCCTGAGTTTTAAAAGGGAGCAGTTGTGAGTTTCTGGGTGAGCTGCTGATTAAGGGGAGGATTTTTAGCTTACCTTGTGAGTCTTGGTTCTCAACATGTTTTTTTTTCATCCCTGAAAATGACAGGTTTTTTTCAGAGATAAAAAAGATATATTTTCACCTGCTACAAAAAAATGGATGAGTGAGTAGTGCAGGCATTTTGTTGTTGCTGAAGCATGAGCTTGCTTGCTTGCAACATCCTCCTTGTTCTGAGAGGGGAAGAAACAGAATGAGTCTTTTCTGCAGCACTGAAAACCACCTCTTGAATCCCCTCCAGACTGCAAGAGAGTGGATACAAAGTGCTTGTACAAATGGTTCTTTTGTACTATCTTTGGAAATATTAGGGTTTAAGCCTCTCACCTCAAAGACAAAATGGAAGTTACTGGTTTGTTTTGGTGGATTTGCCTCTCTGGGTCCCTGCAGTGGTCAAACCTCAGTGGATTCTCAGGTGCTGCTTGTTGTTTTTGTCAATTGATGAGTGGTTGAAAGAATTTCTTTTGTTAGTGTTTCCTCAGAGACAAGAAGCACCTCTAGCTGCAGCAACAAGAGGTGGTCCTGTCCTTACCTGCCTGGCTGTCCTACCGCCAGTGCAAGGCAGCAGAAGTGGGCAGGGGCTCCTGCCACTGCCCCTGTGCCCTGCCGGTTTGTGTCTCAGCCCTTGTGTCTCAGTCTGTGACCTGGGGTGACTGGACATGTATTTTCTTCTGCCACCTGCACAGGAACCTGCGGTAGAGGGGTAGGAATGTTTTGAACAGCTGCAGCTGTTTGCTTCAGAGCACCTGCATCAGTACTCTTGGATAAGCCAGTTCAAGATTTACCAGGCTTGCCCTGCTGACCTGCTTTCTGGTGGATGGTGTAAAACACAGCTGGCCCCAAGCTCTTCTGCGTGACTGCGCTCTGCAACCCATACTGAGTGGCTCAGCACATAGAGCTGCTCTACAGGATATTAGTCAGTTAATACCAAAAGCTTCTCAACTGCCATAAACCATATCAGTGCAAAAGTTGAGGTATTTTTGCCCTTTAATGTAGGCTTTGAAATGCAGTTGCATGAAACTGTATTGGTGCGCTGTTTCACTTGATGCCACAGAAATGAGAACATGAGGAAGTGCAAAATCATGCCTTCATCAGGATTAATTGTGCCTTGTGTCCCAGGTTGGATGTGCTAGGCCCAGGTACAAAGTCCGCTGTGCCACTGCCTGTGTAACCATCAGGTTGTGCAGCCAAGACCAGTTACTGAGAGGTGTGCATTTTCCATGTGCTTTTCCACGGATGCTGCAGTCAAGATTTTCTGTGTATTTCCTTTTTTCCTGCAAATGAGCCAGGTTACTTGATTTGTGGAGTCAGCGGGCCTTGCCAGTGGAGCCTGTGTGCTCTGGGAGTAGCTGTCTCCTGTTCAGACTACAAGAGCAAACTCAAACCAGACTAGAGACACCAGCTGTCAGTGAGGACTTCCCAAAACATGTTGGCTTCTTCTGCTGTGGCTATTTTCAGTCTTTCTAAGCAGGAGAAATGTCAGTGTTCTCCTCTTGTGTCAATATTTCAGCAGGGGCTTTCCAAAGCAATCTCTGGGCAGAGGTGAAGAAAGGAAAATGTTTAGCTATAAAGGAGTTTACTTAAGAAAACTGTGAAAATAGTCTGCTTGAAAAATATACATCGGTCCTTGGGCTGGCCATGGAGAAGCTTGGAAGAAGGAGGGCTAGCCTGCTAGTTAGCTAAGCATGTGCTCCCATGCTGCGCGATACAGCTAGGAAGGGTCCCATTCAGGCTAGCCCTGAGTCCATCTCTGATCTGAACAGTCATGGTAATGTTTTAATGAGCTAAGAGCCACCACAATGTACTGCAGTTTCCTGCTGCCCCATGTTGGTTTGGGGGACAGATGGGATCTCATTTGCACAGCATTGAAAGCATAGATCAAAACCCTGACTCACTAAAAAGAAAAGATTTTTCCATTTTTTCAATCAGCTGGCTGGGTCTGCAGTGACTGACCACTGCACAAATGAGCTGGTGCAGCTGTCAAAATCTGCCTTTTACTCTGTTTTCAGTGGAATATTGTGTTGGCCCACAAAAAAGTCAGGGAGGCAGCATGTTGCCTGCCCTGACCCAGCTGCCTTGTCCATTCTGTGTGAATAGCGCATGTACTTACAGAGCAGGCAGCTCCTTAACACTGTGATTCACAGGCTAGTAAGCCCAGCATGATTTCAGGTTTGCTTTCAAATGCTGAACTGTAACCTGCAGCATTCAGGGGACACTTCATTTTCCTTATCAGTACTGGCATGTTGAGGTCTTCCTGGAGAAGCCCTCATTGCCCCTGCTAGTGCAGAGATGTCGGTCTTAGGTTGCCAGATCTGCCACCTCCAATCTCACCCTTAAAGAAAACCCCAGCCCTGTGCGTCATTAATCACTGGGGAGACTGTAATGCTGTGAATTTCCCTATCTTTGGTACAAAGTCTGGACTCTCCACGGAGTAAAGCTCTCCAGGGCTAGCAACAGGACCAATCGCAACTTCACTGCGGAATTTTTAACCCTGGTGTGTCTACTTCTTTTCTCAGTGCTGCGTGCTTGTGAAATAAAACTGCTGGCAATAATTTGTGATTCTACTTTATCGTGAAGAGCCCACATGCTGCAGATATTCTCATTCAGGCTTGGCTGCACGCTGTTGTAGTACTCAGCCAGGAAAGACACATTATTAACCTTGAAGCACACTGATTTTTCTCCTTCTGGGTGTTTCACAGTCATGTCAATGCAGCACTCTGCAAGGTGGGGCAGGGAGCTGAGAGGAAGGATATCTGATAGGCAGCACTTGAATTTTGTTCATAAAAATCTCAGGTTTGAAGGTAACCATGTGTAAAATGAGTGTCAACAGCTTTCTCAAATAAAGCATCGGGATAGATATTTGACTGCTTTTGGCTGCACAACTGAGCTCTGCTTCCCAAGCCCTTAAATTGGTAGTGGTTGCATACTTCAGGTGGGCACAGACACAGCAGAAGCACCTCTTTAATGTAGTTAAGCTACATGTGCCCCTCAGATGGAGAAAATGTTTTTGCCTTTTTACAAAGGGGTACCCGTGGGATGCCCTCCCTCCAGCCTCAGCCAGCCAGAGACCTCTCTTCTGACTCTCCTCTCCTCTTCCCTGCAGTTCTTCACAGAGTACGGTCCTGATTATGTGCTGGAGATCACACCGAGCTGCAGACCAGACCGCAATGAGCCACAGAGAATTCAAGAAATTCTTAACTCTATCAAAGGTGAGTTGTCCAAGCCAGCACTCCTGCTTCAGGCTTACAGGTCTTTTTAGAGAGGACTTCAGGAAAGCTCATTGGAGTCTTTCTCACTGACTAGAAAGGTGAACCACATTCACTTGACTGCTCATTGTGTACAATGTCATTTGTTTCCTGCTTCACTTGGGATTCTCAGTCTTAGTAGCACATCAGCTGAGAGCTGTGGGTCCCTGTTAGCGAAAGTTGCCATTGCCTTTCCTCTGGCTGGGCAGAGGAGCATGGGGCCTCGTCCTTATTAGAATCATAGAACAGCCCAGGTTGTAAGGGACCTCAAAGATCATCTGGTCCAACCTTTCATGGGAAAGGGAGCCTAGATGAGATTATCTAGCACCCTTTCCAGTCGCATCTTGAAAAACTCTAGCAATGGGGACTCTACCACGTCCCTGGGGAGGTTGTTCCAGTGACTGATTGTTCGCACTGTAAGAAATTTCTTTCTTGTAACAAGGTGAAACCTCTCCTGGTGCAGCTCATACCTGTTGCCCCTTGTCCTCTCCATGTGGCTCCTTGTGAAGAGAGAGCCTCTGTCCTCTCTGTAGCTGCCCTTCGAGTACAGAAATACTGGATACCGAGCCTTCTCTTCTCCAGGGAGAAGAGACACAACTCCCTCAGCCTTTGCTCATAGGGCAGGTTCTCATCTTCGTGGCCCTCCTTTGGACCCTCTCCAGTTTGTCCATGTCTTTTTTGATTTGTGGGGACCAGAACTGGACATAGTACTCCAGATACAGCTAACAAGCACTGAATAGAGTGGGATGATCCCATCTGTATCTCTGCTAGTAACGCCCCTGCAGATGCTGCCCAGCATCCAATTTGCCTTCGTTGCTGCAGCGGCACACTGCTGGATCATGTTCAGCTTGCTTTCCCCCAGGACCCCCAGGTTCCTTTCAGCAAGGCTGCTCCCCAGCCACACAGACCCTAGCCTGAACCGGGATCTTTGGTTATTCTGTCCCAGGTGCGGGACCTTGCCCGTGTCATTGTTAAACTTCATGCTGTTCTTGTTAGCCCACTCTTCCAGCTTGTCCAAGTCTGTAAGATGGCTCTCCCTTCTGATGTGTCCACCTCAGCACCCAGTTTGGTGTCATCAGCAAACTTGGTGAGGTTGCTTTCAATCCCATTATCCAGATCCTTTATGAAGATGTTGAACAGTGTGGGGCCCAGTATCAATCCCTGGGGGACCACACTTGTGACAGGCTGCCGGCCTGAGTAAAAACCATTGATCACCACCTTCTGCGTGTTGCCTGTGAGCCAATTCCCTCCCTACCTGCTTTGCAGACTGCCCATCCAATCTGTGTCTTGCCAGTTTGTCCAGGAGGAGGCTGTGGGAAACAGTGTCAAACACTTTGCTGAAACCCAAGTAAACAACATCCATTGCTCTCCCCACATTGACAGAAGATGGTATTTTGATGTAGAAGATGACCAGATCAGCCTGGCATGATTTGTCCTTGGTAAATCCATGCTGGCTTTTCCCAGTCACCTGCTTAATTTGGTTTGTAATAGTTTCTAAGAGAACTCGTTCCATGACTTTCCCAGGGATTGAAGTATGACTAATGTGCCTGCAGTTTTCTGGATCCTCTTTTGGGCCCTCCTTGTAGATGGGTGTGACAGTTGCCCTCTGCCAGTAATCAGGGGTATCCCCTGATCTCCATTACTTTTCAAGTATTATAGACAGTGGCCTTGCAAGAATGTCAGCCACTTCTCTTAACATAGATTTATGTGGGTGGAACCTTTTGCAATAGGTCACAGACCACCCATCCCTGCTGGTGGGTGGACACTTGCATTGTCCAGCTATGCAGGTAAAGACAGAGGTAGAGAAGGTATTGAGAACCTCTGTCTTGTCAACATTATTAGTAATTGGTTTCTCTGCCCTTGTTAGCAATGGGCCTATGTCTTCCCTGGGCTTCTGCTTACTGCTTACATATCTGAAGAACCCATTCTTCTTGTGTTAACTTGATGTTTTGCCACTCAGAGGGACCTTGGCAGGCTTGAGAGGTGGGCTCGTGTGAACCTCATGAAGTTCAACAAGACCAAGTGCAAGGTCTTGCACGTGGGTCGGGACAGTCCCAAGCGCAAATACAGGCTGGGCATGAGTGGATTGAGAGCAGCCCTGAGGAGAAGGATTTGGGGTTGTTGGTTGACAAGAAGCTCAACATGACCCAGCAATGTGAGTTTGCAGCCCAGAAAGCCAACTGTATTCTGGGCTGCATCAAAAGAAGCATGACCAGCAGGTCAAGGGAGGCGATTCTCCCTCTCTACTCCGCTCTCATGAGACCCCCCTCTGGAGTACTACATTCAGCTCTGTGGCCCCCAACATAAGAAGGACATGGACCTGTTGGAGCGAGTCCAGAGGAGGGCCACGAAGATGATCAGAGGGCTGGAGCACCTTCTGTGATGCTATGATTCATTCGATGAGATTAAACACTTGCTGGATGTGGTTGTGGGTGTCATCAACTTCAGACATATGTGCCCACAGAGGCTTCCTACAGAAGAGGGCAGCTAATTACAGCTAGACAGAAGAAGCTAGGGCTGTGAGCCCAGGTCTCAGCCTGGATGCAAGGAGGGTACCATGGCTGGGATTACCCTGTCAATAAGAGAGAAACCCCTTAGTGGACTGCCTGGAGCTGGGCGTTAATGTTTGGATGTAGGACAACCTGGAGGCTATGTAGGGCTGAATGAGAAGCAGATGCTTTCAAAGAGGATATGTTCCAGCTGCTTCTGATGCGTGGTTTTCGTTCCCTTTCGTACCACGGTGTCTGAATTCAAGAGAGGAGAGCTCACATATTTAGCCCTTCCCCTGCATCATGGCTCGCTTTTCAGTTCCCCAGCCTAGTTTTTCCCCAGCCTCTCCAGTCCCCAGCCCAGTTTTGACTCCTAGACTTCCTTCCCAATTGCTGACAGTCGCGTTATCACACCTTGGTGAACTACCACTTCCCATGTGTACACTCATCACCTGAGTTACAAGACTGACATAGGGTATTTTACCTTCTTCTGCCTCTTTAGTTTAAATCACCATTTGTTGCATCAAAAGTCCCAAGTTCTGTATTTTTATGCTGTGAGCTCAGGTCCTCATCCTGCATGCAAGTTCGGTTGGAGCTTGTCAGTTAGAGAGTGAACCCTGCAACACAAAAATAGCCCTAGCACAAGTCTTTTCTCTGAGACAGTGCTTTGCCCTGGAGCAAAGTTCCCATCCTTTGCTCCCGAGACAACAGGAGTGCTCCGATTCGGTGGAAGTAACTCAGAAAACAGCCATGTCTTCTAGTGTCTTACAGAGAGATGAATAAAAGGCAAGACTCTACGCTTGCTGAAGTGGGCTTGTAACATGGCACACTACCACCTCACTTGGATCACATTCAGGCAGTTGTCCCCAAGCCTGTGTGAGGGACCGCTGCCTGGGAGGAGGTGGAAACCTGCAGGACTGGTCTGTGCCCATCCTTTGGAGATGGGCGACTTCAGCGCAGGTCTGTTGAAACACTTCTTTGGGAACGTTTGGTCCACCACCTGATCACAACTGCTTGTGCTTTGTTACATACAGCTCCCCCACTCCTTTTCTCTCCTATGCATGATGATTTTTGTTTTCTTTTTTGTCGTGCTGCAAAAGAGCAGTCTTTCTCTTTATTGTCATCTGTCAAAGTGCTATCTGGGGCATGAGGCAGTTACAAACCCTGTTCCCAACAGATACTTGACTTATGGGCTCCCAAGGCAATTGCAGCTTAACTAGACTGGTTTTCCCTGCGGTGAGTTTTCCACTGCACTTATAGTGGCAGTACCAGAGGAAGCAGGAGCGAGTGGGGTAAGGAGGGTCCTTTCCCCTCGGCAGTGAAACGGTGATGGATGGAGCAAGGCAGAACTGCAGCCCCTACTCCAGGCTGTACAGGGGGATGTGGCACTGCCAGCCCTGGGGGAACGGGCCTGCTGGGCGCAGGGCCGGGTGCTGGATGGACTGACAGCAGTAGAGCCATGGCTCCTGCTCTTGACTGTTGCCTCCCAGCATTGCTTTGCTGCCTGCTTGGCTGTGCTGGCAGCTGCTGGACTTTCCATCCCCTCCTGCTCCAGCAACTGTGGCCCCAACTACCATGCAAAGCAGTAAGTGTGAGTGCAGAGCATCCAATGCCCCGGCACGCAGAAAAAGTCTTTATCATCTGCTTGGGATGTGAACCACCATGTCTAAATGGAAATTGTGGGTGAGGAAGCAGCAGGGAGAGGACAGGGACTGCCAGCCCAGCCTGCAGGCTCTCTTTAGCACACTTAACTGCTCCAGAATTGAGGGTTGGCTGCCAGGCGCTTTGCCCAGGGTCCCACAAAGCCCCAGCTACTCTTTTTATTTCAGGCCTAACGAGAGACCCTGGTCTGCCTTTGGCAGGAGCGTGTGTAGCGTCCTTGGGACTAGCTCCTGCAGCACTGGCCTCCCTCCATTGGCCCTTGGGGCTGAGCCAGAGCTGCTGTGCTCTTCTCAGAGCTGCCTGCAGGGCTGGGCCTTGCCCGAGGGCAAAGGAAGGTGGTTCCCCACCTGATCTCCATGCATGTCCTCAGGAGCTGGGACAGTCCTTTAGCCAGGCAGGAGACTGAAAGCTGTTGGAGTCCAGGGCACGTGGTTGGGTCAGCCCTGCCAGCTCCTGCCAGCCTTGTTCAATGCCCTTGCCCATCTGTCTTGTCCCTGTCCCCAGGAGAAGCTGGGGGCAGCAAGACAGGGCTTGTAAGTCCTTTTCACTCTCTGTGCATGTTGTGATGTATTGGTGTTAGAAGCAGAGTAGGAGGAGGTGGGTGGGAGATGCAATGCCATGGATACCCTGGAGTGTCCATTCCCAAGCACAGGCTAATCCTAGGGAGGGGATATCCCCCCTGACCTGTCCAGGAGGGAAGGAGGAACAGCATTGCTTCAGAGCTGGAAGGGAGGGATCTATGCTGTGCACTCTTGGCAATGCATCCAGCCTGGAGGAAGGACAAGGCAGCAGGGAGTGAGCATGGGCCCCTCTGGTGCTGGCCCATGAATCCTGAACCAGCGATCAGCCTGCAGGAGAAACTCATAGCAGAAGCAGTGGCAGGATCTTTGGTAGTTCCCGAAGTCTGGCTCAGAGGAGGGCAGCAGCCTCTGAAGGGAGTGAGGGGCCAGCAGGGACTGGGGTCTGAGCTGAGCCTGGGTTTCCTGTATCACTGCCCAGTCTGTCAGGTGTAGGGGTGGCACCCCTGCCCCTGGCCAGGCCACTCCATCAGGCTGAAATATCAGTGGAAATACCCTTTTCTGCCTCCTTTTATTTGCAGGGAATCTGAAGCATGTTGTTTAGTGGAGAAGGAAGGCTCAAGTTTCCGCAAGAGCATTTCCCGTGGGGAAGACAGCGTGTTTATTTGAGCAGCTAGTGAAATTTGTGGCTGTGGGGGAAATTTGGAAGAAATTACTGTTGATTGGTTGATTTTTTTCTCTTTAAAGAAGAAAAGCTGCCACTGCACACGATGAGCACTGTGGCTGTCCCCAGGCAGGAGTGTGGGCCCTCCAGCCACAGCCTTCCAGTGCTGGCAGAGCCTCCCTTGCTCCTTTCTCTTTCCTGTTTTAACACCACAGAGTTTATTCTCACAACTGGTTTTAAATGTTTTTTAAGAGAGGGGCTCCTCAGACCTGTGAACCCTCCCCAGCTGGCAGGAGCACGGCCTCTGAGCTGCCAACCCAGGGAGTGGTACTGAGGGCCAGCCGGGGCCTGGGCCACAGGCTGTGCCTCTTACCCACAGAAAGGCACAGCTGTTGTTTTTTTAACTGGGATTTTTTTTTAAATAAAGTATTTGAAATACTCCTCCAGCCCTTGCCTTTCTTCCTGCGCCCACCCTGCCTTGCCAGTGCTCTTTTCCACAGCACTTCACATGTTCAGCAGAGGTCCCGCCAGCACTGGAAAGCAAAGATCTGCACTTGCATTTGTGACCGTCCCTTCCAGCCCCATCACGTAAGGCAGCACAGATACCTCCCCCCCCCCGAGCGATGGGTGGGCTCCTGAAATCCTGTGCTGAGGGGCCAGACCCTGGGGATGCTCTCCAGAGTGTCGAGGGAGATACAGGGCAGGGTGGCTACTCCTGACCTGAGAGATCTCAGATGAACCTCCAGATGCCCCAGTGCCGTAAAAGAACTGCCACTCAGCCTCTCAGCAAGGGGACAGGTACACAGGTATCTGGGGTAGATCCATCCCGGTGCCTCAGGCTGTGGAGCCTGGCCTCTGCTGCCCTTGTCCACTCCTTCACCTGGCCCACGGAGCTTTTATTTGTGCTGTTTCTTTTTAAAGATGTCCAGTTGCTGTGGGAAAGCATATTTCCTGTTGCTTTAATTAGATTATGCTGGAATAAATAGCAAGACGAAGGGGCTCCCAGCCTGGCCTGGCTTTGTTGTGATCTCTTGTTTTTCACTGCCGATCCAAACAACAGGAAATCCAGTGTGGAGGGAGTTCAGCTGGACGTGGCTTCCATGTCCCCCGGAGTGACTCCTGACCCCCTCCCTGCTTCCCGCCGTGTCCCCCTGGCGCCTGCTGCAGTGGGGTGGGGGGAGACCGGCGTTGTGTGGTGACTGCTGGCAGAAGGCTGGCACTGCCACTGGCACAGCAAAGGCTCTCAGTGCCCAGGGGAAATGTCAGCCCTGGGGATCATTCAGCCAGAAGAGTGAGATAGAGAGAGCAGAGAAGCTGGCCGGCTGCCCCCTCCGACCCACATTGGGGCCCCATGTGCTCTGACCCCGCACCAGGCACAGACAGCCCTGCAAGCCATGGGACCTGCTTCAGGAACACCACTGGGAAAACAAACAATAGGAACCCCCCCAAATATCAAACACTGTGGCACTAAATGGGGTTTAGGTGAGGTGCAGGGAGAGCTGCACCCGGTCATGGGACTGTAGGGATATGGCACCCTAAACCAGGCAGGTTGCCCACCCACAGACAGCTGGGGAAACTGAAGCACAGGGTAAAGCACCTCCTCCGCCATCTCTGTCCACAGCCCTAAATGCAGAGAGACAACTGGAGCTTAGCTCGGTGCAAAGCAAGAAAAGTGCAAAAGGAGGGACAAAGGCTCGGGGGGTACCCCCAGTGCCCCCTCAGCTGACCCCCTCACACCCAAATCCCCCTCCAGCCAGCTGAAGGCACCAGCCCACATCAACCTCGCCAGCCCTGGCACCAACTGAGCTCCCTTCTTGCCCCCCACCCGGGATAGGAGTTACAAGGGTGTCCCAGCCTGGATGGGGGGAGGCATGGGGGTTCCCACCCAAGAGGTTGTGAGGCAGGTGAAAGAACATGGGGCAGTTGGGGGTGTCCAGGCTGGGTGGGGAAGTGTGGGAGGCACCCGCCTGGATAGGGTGACATGGCGGGTCCCAGCCCGAACGGGGAGGACACGGAGGGGCCCA